GGGCCGGCAAGTGCTGCATGCACTCTCCGCCTACGGTTACGTTCTTAATCCCCCCACGTTTTAACTTTTTCAGTATGATCTCTTCGTTAATTCTTTTTATATATAGTTAATTAATTACCTATACCCCTAAACTAAATAGTCATTTTTACAGTCCACACATTTTGAAATAAGGTTTATTTAATCCAAAATTTATAAAAGCAATCATTAAAGGCCGACGTTCTCCAAATATAAAAACTTCCAAATTTCGACAAAAAAACACGTTTATGTCTCCTCCATCTTTCATATGGACGATTGTCTTTTTATATTCCACTGTCTACATATAATGATCCAAACCAAAATTTTCTACGTCATTTATATGAATTTAACGCTATTTTCTCCGATAAATTTTACATCGTCAATAATGGATCCATCCATCTCGGTGGCTTCTTCTTTCACCGTCACCATCTATCCTAACTCCACTCTTATCCTCGAGCATTTGTTTTGCTTTCTCCAACCAAACTACACTAGCTTAACCCTCTTTTATCTCATTTTTTCCTCCACAACAATCATCATCCACCTTTGTTTCCATACGAGATTCGTATCATGAAATTGGGTGTATCGGAACTATTTCATATAATATGAATCATCTTTTTTCACTTATATGGCATCTTTTGCTCCCATGTTGGTGAATTCGACCAAAAGTATACGCACTATAATCTATATGTGGTATGAAAAAAACTGTTCACACTCTACAAATGTGTTGTGGGATTAACTTCACAAATCACACTCTACAAATGTGTTGTGGGATTAACACTCAGCACGCACTACAAATTAACATTGTATAAAAAAAATTAAACACGATATACATATCTAATTATTAAATCTTTATGGCTACACGCCTGCAGAAACATGTTTAAAATGTAATACTAACATTTATGGGAAGTTTCGACGTCGACGCACTTAACATTAGCTTCTTCGAACAAGCTAAAAGAGTGATATTATGTTGACGAGGACCTAAGAAAATAAAAATTAATACATAAAGGCTTTGATTGGTATAAAGTTTATAAGCTTTATTTTGGTATAAAGTTTCATTTAAACGTTCGTTTTGGCGGACGAGGTGGTTGAGCTATATTTTTAATTGTTCACACTCCAGTCTATATTTAATTGTAGTGGACGATTCCAGCACTCATCATCGAGTCAACGTTTTGATTTGTTCTTTCGTCATACGTACGTGTTTAATTTTCATACATCAAAATTTTTATAAGTATTTTATGATATGAGCTGAAACAAATTCTGGTTGCAGTTTTGTTCTTTAATGATTGATACCGATCGATGGAAGATATTGATACGATATGATTCTCTCTGTAGATTTTTTTTTTCGTATTTTCTTTATCTAAACTTGGTTGGGTTTTAAAACTACTTTAGTACTTTGTTATCCTGTTAAATTACTATTCTCTCTATCAAGTGTTTTTAGCCAAAAAGAATCTTATTACAAAAAAAAAGTTGTTGTTTATTCAAACGAATATATTATATATGGGAATCAACTAGATACAATTGTTTAACTTGCGAAGAATAAAATTCTATGATTTTTGTTTTTGGTCACCAAAAATTATGTGATACGTGTTACATTGGTACTGGTTATTAACCGTACGTATTTTCCTATATATGTTTGTTGTCTTTAATCAAAATCAAAAGGTTCGTGTTTTTAATTTTTGGTACACAATTTTTTGATTTCTTACTCGAATGAGGTAAAAAAAAACATCAGCAACACAAATTGTTATAAACGAAAAGAGAGTAAGCTAGACCCTCTGTAATCAACAAAATTCATAAAACACAATAAACGAATAAGTAAATATGGATGTGCATACTGTATATGTTTTAGAAGTTTGGCTAAGTAAAGATGTAAAGTTTTTTCCTATGATACTTGGACGAGAAACTTTTAACAAAGTTTATTTACTGTTGTTGTAGTGTGTAGTTTTGGCCCAATATACTGGAAGACAACATTATGGTGCCGCCATTTTCAGTCACAAATTAAGTGCTAATTATGGAATATTGACTTTACAAAATAACATCATTAGCCGAATAATAATAAGTACAACAGTCTAAACCATATCAAACGGCATGTCCATTTACTAATAATTGTGGAGTTTACAAACTAATAGGGACAGCCCACCACAGTGAATATATAATTACCACAATTTATTGAAGTAGGCTTGGCCACATATTCTCTATAATTAGATACAAATCAACCATTTATAATGTTAGTGTTGGTTATAATATGATATATTCTCGAAGTGGCAATACAAATCAACTATTTATAATGGTTATTTCTGTTAGTGTTAGTTGTGTTGTGGAGAGTCACACTATGACAGGAATATTCTATTTGTAATGAAAAATTCCCACATGTAAGCACTTTCAAAGGTCCAAAATAAAATAGATTGAAGGTGTTAATTAGTAACCCTTTTTTGTTCAATGCCTAGTTAAGTTGGTGTAGTAGTTATAGCCTTTTTTGCACTGCGAAACCTCCCCGAATTAAGAATTTTGTGCTACTCATTGTTTGATTATGTTGTTTTTTACCCGTTTTGGCGATGTTATGCTCAGCTTTCAGTCCACTAATCTTTAAATACCTATCCTTTGTAACTAAATCTAAGCAAACAAAAAAAAACTAAAATTGTCGTGTCGTAACTCGTAAATGAATTGTCCATGTCGCTTCTTCTTGTGACAAGTGAAGTAGGGAAGATTAATCCAGAAACAATCAAGAGAAAATTCTTAGAGCCAACATGCATCAACAGTACTCCACCCTCCGCAGTCTGCATCCGCCAGCGGAACCACAAAATGAAGTGTTGTGATGAATATTTCATCAGCTACTTAGTAGTCTAAGTGTCTAACCAACCAACGACATGCATGTGAGAATACGTACCTTTTTTTCCAAAAAGAGACACGGTTAGAGCAGGCGATATCATCCAAAAGTAACATATATATCTTGCTTCAGTTTTTTTGTTGTTTTTGTTTTACTACCCGTTCGTTAATGGCTTCTAGTATGCATGAGACCAAGTCGATCGTACCATTTAACAGAGTGAGAGAGACACGTCCTGTCTTTCTGTCATGACATGCACATCTTCTTCCGACATGTGTGACACTGTCACATGCACACACACCAAATACTCTATACAATTTTCTGCTGTCAAATTAACCCAATCCGACCACCCAAAAAACCCATTCGCCAAACCCGTATTATATAATTCCCTGTAAATATAACAATAGATCTGGTTATCTGAATTAGATCCAGTTTGAGAATTTTGAGGGAATGATAATGGAACGGAGAATGCTTTAGTTGTTTCCGCATCAATATCTCTCTTTCTTCTGTTCAGCATATTTAATTTTCAAATCTTAGTTGAGTTATTGGAGAAGGAACATATCCCATATTTTGATATATACTGGGTATCTTTTAGTGCCCTAAAATATTCTTGTTAATATGTTATGTTCTTCAAACTAAAACATAATCCCTACCAACCCAAGTGTTTACAAGCATATATATAAGCCCAACTCGTATAAATCTCAAAAGTCAGCCTTTAAAGAGAAAGAAACGGGCCTCACAAACAATTTTTAAACTAACCGATTTTATAAGTAAACGAGCCTACATATCTTTAGGAATAAGCTATTAAGCAGAAACTTAACTGCCTGTGTTTATGGGCTTTGTTACAAAGTTTCACATTCATGGTCGTCACTAGCCCTGTCTTCCGCATCAGATTAAAAGAAAATTATATATCGTATTGTACTTGAAGCTTATCGTACGTCTTTTGTCAAAATCAATTCAAGTTCAAGCAATCTTTAAAAAAAAAGAAGATTATCCATGATGCTTTTAAAAGGGTATTGTCAAGATTGACTTCATTCAGGTACCTAGCTTGTTGTCTATCTGTTGTTGTTGTAGTTATTAATATACATTGGAATTTTCCATATCATATTCTCAATAGTACCTTATTTTATGTTGCTTCGCTTTCTCCATGATTTTATATGATTTGATTCATATGGAGGTTGAAGGTGCAGATACTTGGCCTTTTCTGCCCTTGTTATCATAAATTTTGATAAGTTACTAATCCTCCTGTCTAAAAAAGTTACTTACTATATTAAGACGTCGTAATGAGTGATAACCAATCAAATTAATTGACATTTTTAACCGGTAATCAAAGATTCGTTCCTCATTAAGCAGAGAACATAAATTTTGGGTTATCACAAAAAAAAAAACCTGATTAATACTATATTTTCAAACAATATATAAGTATGATTGGTGTTCACGATAAGAAACATGGAACATGAGTATGCATGTGAAGGCGACAACTTCTAAGTTCTAACATATATAACACATATATACAAATACGTACAAACCTCAGTTTCATTGACATATACTAAACGAATAAAATAACGATGAATGTAAAATAAGTATTATATGAAGGAAGCGACTCTCTTGTCATCCAACAATGACCTTTCGACTGATCAAACAGACTCACCCTTTGAACCCCATCCACCTCTTATATAGCCACTGCTTTTATTTTTGGCATATCCCACTTGCATTGCATCTATCATTTTATTATATAAAGTCATTCCTCCAATAAGTATTACTCTAACACATGTAGGTCCTTTGTTCTTAATTAATCATTTAAATAACATCATCTGGACATGAGTTGTATACAGTTTATTTGTATTTCTAGCTGAATAATATATAGTTTGGTCCCGGAAAAAAAACAAAAACCTAGTCAGCATTTTCGTAGTTTTTTCAAAGTGAGTGGCGAAATTTGTGACAGAATAGGTTCATTTGTATAAACAAAATAACTAGTCGGTAGTGTTAGAAAATTAAAGAATTTTTTTTAAAAAATCCTTAGCTCGTATTTAGGTCAAAAACCAATACCTGACTATCATGTTCTGATTTTTTCTTAACCCTTCTACAACAAATTAAAAAGAAAAAAAAAACTTAAATTTTCAACTTGGTATATATGACTTTGTATCATTCATAAACTCAAAAATATAAAATATATTTACAAACAAATCTGAGTGTATTTGTTTATATCATTGTCCACTCTCTCTTTCTCTCTCTCTCTCTCACACACATCCTTTTGGTATAAGTAGAAAGAAGGAAACATATTTTTGAGTCTTTATTGGGAATCATCATGGCCTCGCTTCCGGTGAAGCCTATACCTTCCGGCCACTTACAGCTTCTTCACCGGAATCTCATTACTCCTCCGTCAATGATATCCGCCGCCGGTTTCAAAAGGCAGCATATCTTAGGAGTCCCTTCTTATCTATGTATTGATGAATCTGTGAGAAACATTAGGTCATGGGGCACTCGTCGGCGGATAAGCAAAAGCGCTGGTGTGTCTATGCCGGTGGCTTCCGCTGAGGATTTGCCGGCAGTTTCTTGGGAATCGTGGAAGCCTGACAAGACCACCTTAGCTCCGTCGCTAAGTGACGTCATTTGGCCTGCCGCAGGTAATTTACTTAATTAAATCTTTGCACCGGAGACATTATTATACATGCTCACTTTGTTAGAGTTGATATCAATTTATATTCTTCTTTTATTTTTACGTCTAGTTGATATTATTCGGATTCTATATATATGCATCTCATTTCATATCAGGCAAAAAGTATGAGTCCACGACTCCTATTTTGGGGTTTAGAAATAAAAATATTATACTAAATTAGAAATGCTAAAAATAACATATATTACAGCAGGTTTCTTTGTCCAAAGACAAGGGAATAGAGAGAGAAAGACAGAGTGATAATGTCTCTTCCAACAACCAAATAGCTATTGGTATTTGGTAATAGGATATGAATCTAACTGTTTGAGGTTGACCAATTCTCAAATTTGAGGTTGACCAATTCTTAATTCGTATATATAATCTATATTCGTAGAAATGTAAGGAAAAGGTTTATGAATTTCATATGGTTATACATATGTATTAGATAAGTCATATATATATATATATCGTCGATCAAATCCTCATTTATTAATCGTGGTCTTATCATTTTAAGTCATGTTGTTATAATTTTGTGAACATGCATGCAATTGAATTATTTGGTTTATTATATGTCATTTTACCTTCAGATATATGCTCATAGCCTTGAATCTACAACCTCTTTAATGTGTGTGTGTTCAAAAATGTTAATTAAATATTGGTATGGGTAAAGGAGCGTTTGCGGCAATGGCGATAATGGGAAGAATAGATCAAATGTTAAACCCTAAAGGGATCTCAATGTCGGTTGCACCACTTGGTGCCGTCTCTGCCATACTCTTCACCACCCCTTCTGCTCCTTCTGCTCGGGTAAATTTCATAAATGCAAATTCTCTTATACTTGCGATTGAAACGCTAAAACATAGCTAGCCTTTAAACGCTAAGTAGTGTGTGTTGATCAACATGCATGGTGATAGGGTGCATGTGTATATATTTCAGAAATACAATATGTTCGTGGCTCAAATAGGTTGTGCAGCCATAGGGGTGTTGGCGTTCTCCGTCTTTGGGCCAGGCTGGCTTGCCCGCAGCACCGCCCTGGCCGCTTCCATCGCGTTCATGGTCATCGCTCGTGCCAACCATCCACCTGGTAATTCAATATCCCACTCTAGATCTTCTTCTTTTTTCTGGAAGTTATATACTAAAACATTGAACTTGAAGTACACATTTCCACTCTCCACATTGATAATATTATTCCCTTCTTTTTCATGTATTAATGTATAATGCATACTTAATATCGGATTAATATGAAATAGTTGAATGATATATATGATTTTGAAAAAAACAAACACAGCGGCGAGTTTACCACTGCTGTTCATAGATGGAGCAAAGTTACATAAGTTGAACTTTTGGTACGCATTATTCCCAGGTGCAGCCGCTTGTATCCTCCTCTGCTTCCTCGTAAGTTACCTAATTCATGCTTTCAAAAGTACATGATATTTGCTTAAGTACCTCTTCAGTTCTGCTTTCAAACTATATATTTGCTTAATTAGATATTGTACTTTTTTTTTTGCAGCAAGAGATAGTGTGTTATTTGAAGGAAAACTTAAAATTTTGAAAAATTGGAAACATGTTTATATATATGTATACAACACATATTGGTGGAGGGGAGATCGATCCTGTGAAGTTTTTTGATTCATGTTTAGACGTTTACGTACGGTAGATGCATGGTCGACGTATATAAATGATTACATACATACAAATATATATACGTTTCCGCTAAACTTGTAATGATTTATTTTCCATTTTCTTGGTCTTTTACGTTAACCTCAATTCATTTAAATAATAGTAATGTGTATCAATGTATCATCGTACATATATATACCAACACATGGACATGGTGGAATGCAGATTAATACAGAAAAAAAAAAGTTATTTGTTCTAAGAAGATTATACTAACGGTATGATTTACTTGGGGTTTTTGGAATTCTTTCTCAAAATGTTAATTATCCTTCCTTGTGCTGTGATTTCAATTGTGACTTTTATGGCAAGACCACTGAATATATAAACTATTTCACAGGCTTCGTATACGTTAACTTGGAAATTTGCAGGATTATCTCTTGGTTATCAACAAATTTCTTATCGAAACAAACATATATATGTAATGTTAAATTCATACTTATCGAAACAAGTATAAATTCATTTTTTTTAAAAAGACTCTATAATTAGTTTGTTGGTGGTTTTATTTTGCAGTCAACACTCTTTTCATATTTTAGTCATTTCACATTCGAAACTAGCCATTACCGCTGCTTTTACGAACGAATACTAAAATTATCAGTCAATGGATGCTAAGTTTATTTTGACTACCTTCTTTAATATTAAGAAGTATATGTATGTTCTTTGTCCCAAAAAAAACGAAGTATATGTATGTTCTTGTTCAGTTACTGGGAAATCTTAATTAGTATGTATATAATTAAAACCAGTTATGCTAGCTTAAAGCTAATTTAGCTATTCACAGAAAGTTGTGTAAAGCGGAAAGCAAAAGACACCAACCATTTCAAAAACCCATAGTGCAGAGAAAAGTTGGGCTATTCTATTAAATAAACGGATTAGGCCAAAAATAGATATTGAAAAATAGATGTCATTTGTTTTGGTTACTCAAGGCACTTCACTTAGACTTGGCCTATTCTCAGTTTCAGTGCTTCTGGTTCTCTATGACTTTTTGGGTTTATAACATTGAAAAAATTGGTCTTCACCTGAAACCATTAACCAAGTAAAAGGTATCTGATCAATGTCTATCATGACAGAGTTTGGACATGAATAATTCTTCACCCTTACCATATGTAAACCCGATTTATTTACATTTCAAGACTGTTGAAGCTGACAAGGAATGGGTAGGCAAATCAGTCAAGAGTTAGCGTTTTGAGTACAAAATTTCCACAGGCTCATTTCTTTCTCTCATCTCCGGGATGGAGATAGATCAGTCGAGACAGGTGGAACCCCACCATTCTCTGCAGTCTCCAGAGCGGTATCTGTGTGGACTGGGTGGATTAGGGATTGAAGTCTCAAAAAGTAGCTCTCGCTTTGAAGTTGGCTTCTTATGTATCTAGCTTCTGTCGTTTCTGTGTTCACTTGTGGGGGTTGTTCTGTTCCTGAGCTCTGGAGGTTGGATAATGCGCTGAGATCAAGGTCTGGGAAAACCGAGCACCGGCACCGGGGACATTTCACATTTAAACGCAGCCACTGGTCTATGCACTCCACATGGAAATTATGGGCGCAAGGTAAACCTCTAACCTGTAAAATTCAGACAAATTCGGCTCATATAAGGAATGCATTGAGACAAGAAAAGCACGCAAGCACAGTATGGAAACAAGGCGCTAGTATTCAATATCTACCAGAAAAATATAAATAAGAAGTTGGTTAATCCCTAGCAACGGAAAATTTTTAGAAACTGATATTTAGTACCTCATGGCCGATATGGAACTCCTCTAAGCAGATTAAGCATTCACCGCAGTCATCTGGGACAGCTTTTAATCTGAACTTTGGAAGTTCTTGAATGAGTGCCTCGACAGCTTCAGTCTGTTTATCAAAGCATCAAGCATTAGACGATTGGAATCTTGAGACAGAGATATGTTAAAAGTAAATTTGAACATAATCACATCCTGCCACTAATATATTCTTTGACATCATTGGCAAAGATGATTTCGGCTTCTCTACAAAATATGTCCATAGGTATTGGAAACAGACATATTTATGTTAGGGATAAGTTACTAAATGCTTAGGGTGCTGACAGTAAAGGACCAGACTTGCCTGAGCTGGAGTCAAGTAAAGTCCAGGATGGTATGTAGCAGCATCTTGACTTATGCCTCTCATCTCTTGGCCTGCGGCTTCAAATGCCCAGTCAGGTACCCTAATCATGTCAACTAAAATCTGGGTTCAAGATAACAGACATTAAAATGTTACTCAGAAGTGACAGAGACTAACTACTTACTAGAAGTTCTTGGAAACAAAAATCATAATGACAAACTACGTAAATGTGTAAACTGTAAAGGAAGTGAAGTTGAAAAATAAGATCCTGAATCCTACCCCGAACTCTGAAATCGGAATACCCTGCTGAGCACGTAATACGTGTACCTGCCTTCGTGTCAACCACTATCAAGTAAACTCATATTAAGTGGGGTCCCTTCTTCAAACCAACAAAAAAAGAAAGCTTGATCAAAATCTACCTTTCTGACACAGATGCAAGCAATGCAGAGGAGGCCACAGTAGCTGAACATCAGCCAAATAAGAAAACCCCATTTTTGGCCTTCTTCAGGTAACTATCACAAGAGAATACAAACTAAGTTACTAACTCAGCAACATATTTCCAACAAGAATAATCATATACCATGATCGTAAAAAACGCTTACACAGATTTTCGCCCTAGAGAACCATAGTGAACCGATTACAGTCCAAGCCCACAAAAATGGATACAGCAGCAGAGACAGGACAGATAGGACTACCACTCTTCCACAAAACATGGCGTTCCGCTGTTGACTTCCAAAATCCCTAAAAGATGTCCATACCAGAAATTACGTCACATAAATAACCAGATATTCATAAAACTTTGCTACCTAGGGAGATAGAGAAATGTTGAAACTAGCTACTTCTGAGATCAAGCTTGAACTCGAAGAGCCTATTTTGACTGGAGCTACAAAGAAATTCTATGCTTCCCAGTTAGCTTATATTTATAATCAAATCCTTCTCAATGAATTACATGCCTATCCAAGGAAAAAGGATAGCAAAGACAAGATTTCGCAACAGTTTCGTCTTTAGATAACAACTCTTGGTAGTCAGGGAGAAAGATTCCAAAAGGTAAGAACCTTCAAATTAACGATAACTCTAGGACTAGGAGATTTGGATGGAACTTACAAGCCAAGTCCAGCAGCAAGACCATTGTCAACAAACATGAAGACTCGGAAGATAAACACAGTGGTGTAATCGACCTGAAGTCATAGAGACAAACAAAACCGTGAGAGCAAAATACCAAAATCTAAAGATTCCAAGGAAAGGAACTGAAGATGACAATAAGCAAAGAGCAACAAAAACTGAACAGAGGTGCACCTACCACTATCCATATATGCAAAGGGTATTCACACGAAAGATATCTCTTCCAATTGACAGCTACAATGATGCTACAACGCAAATAAACATTAAGGAAACAAAACCGAAAGGTTATCTAGATCACACCTTAAATAAACCCTAGCTAAACAAAAAATTTCAGAACAAGATTTCAGACTAGTTCCTCTACTCCAAGAGAAACAAAACCAAAATCAAATCTTCAAAAGATCAAAAGAAGAAGAAGAAGGAGATGTAAAAATTATTCTACTTTTCCTTCTGATTAACCCAGCAATACCTAAAAGCTAAAAAAAAAAAAAGTATCTTGTTCGTCGTATTCGTATGTATAAAAGTGAAGAAATCATCTCCAGGACTGAGAATTCTCAGCTCGATCCAAAGCAAGAACAAAACTGTATACCCAAAAAGAAGAATGAAAATAAATATCGCGGAATCAAAAGGATACACACTAGTCGCAAGCATCGACAAGAAGAACCCATCATACCTGCACAATTTAACAACAACAAAAAAAAATCAGAAACCCCTAAAACTCGCAAAAATGGGGAATCGATGATCCAAAAAATCGAAATCTGTCTCCTTTAGATCGACCCAAGTGAAGAGAAACTCACCACTTGAAATCGACACCTCTCATCGCCATTAGAGTGAGGTAGAGGTGGAGAAAAAGAAAAAAGAAAAAAAAAAAAGGAAGAGAGTGAAATTTTGAGACAAAGGATAAGAAAAATGGCGGAATCGATTGTCGAAAGCGTGAGCTGATTCAGTATCTAAGGGGATTAGGATTGAGAGTGAGAGAGAAAGCGAGAAAAGGGAGAAGATTTGGAGCCAACAAGTTGCAAAATTGCGATGAAGAAACTTAATAGAGAGAAACAAAACTTCTGGCTCAGGAAGAAGTAATCACGAATTACGTCATTTTTTATCAGGCGTTCAACAATTTTTCGTCACTTGTTAGTAGTTAAACCAAACCTTTAATCAAAAATGGAGTTAAACAAATACTAAACGTAATAGATTATTAGTGTTTGTACTAATTAGGTTCATGTATTTTACAGCAAAAGGCCAAAAAGTAATCTAACAATACATCTCCACTACTGTATTTTTATTATAAATAAATTCTAGGTATTTCACCAAAAATACGTTGACAATATTATTTTTTTAACTAGTAAATTGCAATAAAAAGAATAAAAATATAGTTTTAAATACACACATTAAAATAAAAATACAAAACGACAGTTTTTATTTAAAAATATATATATTTATATATCTTTTAAATTTTCTTGTGAAACAGAACGAATATTGGCTTTTGACATAATAAAAAAAAGATAATTAAAAACTACATTTGAATTCATTATGATTTATCTTGAAATTCTTTTAGTTTATGGTTAAGTTCTAGTTTAAAAATACTATATATCTTCTAGTACCGCGATAAAGTTATTGTTGCAATTATCAGTTTCCACATAAACCTTATGAAATCAAGTGAACGCACGCATGTGTAAGTGAGTGTAAATGTGTAACAGCTATGTGATATGGAAGAAGAAAAAACATAACAGTAAGAACATGAAAACACATTCATTTAAAGTATCATAATCCTTTACTCAAGTTACAAACACTGGCTTTAAATTTTATTACTGTTAAACTTTATGGAGTCTCTCTCTATCTTTTGTTTTGAGGATTTATGATGAGACCACAAAACTGCAGAGGTCATCAGATCCAGGCAGGCTTATTCAAAGCAGTGACGACTGCCTTGATCTGCAAGTAATTGTTGAGACTGTATATGCCTTTCTCTCTGCCATTCCCACTCATCTTGTATCCACCAAATGGAATGGCTGCGTCAAAGACGTCGAAGCAGTTCACCCAAATCGTGCCAGCTTTCAGAGCCCTCGAAACCCTGTTTGCGGTGTCCAAACTCTTTGTGAAAACCCCTGCGGCTAGTCCGTACCTCGTATCGTTCGCCCTCTTGATCACCTCATCCACATCACTGAACACAACATTACATTTTTGGTTTAGGCCTTATGAAAGTATAGCAAAGGATATTGTGACTTATTTGCTTACTGGATGGGTTTTTTGTAATTGAGATTAGCCTGGTCTTACCCGGCTACACATCGCTACTATTCTACTAAACACATAGCACTCTATGACTCATGAGTGCGTGCGTACCTGAACTTCAAGATTGATTGAACTGGACCGAAAATCTCGTCTTGAGCAATAAGCATGTTGTCCTGAATTTGTTTAAGATTAATGCCAAGGAGAATTGAAACAGAAGAACATTAAAGACGCCTTGGAAGAGTTTTCTTTTTATACCTTAACATTAGAGAAAACTGTAGGTTGGATGAAGTAACCTTTGTCACCAATCTGATCACCACCACATTCAAGAGTAGCATTGCTTTCGACACCTGACCTTATGTACTTCATCACTTTCTCGAATTGCTTCGAGTCAATCTATACATATTTTAAAAAAACCCAATCACATAACCAATCAACAAAAAGAAAAAGGCTAAACTCTATATATTGCAAGGATTGTGTATGTGTTACCTGGGGGCCCTGTTCAATGCCTTTCTTGAAAGGATCACCAACCACACGTTTCAATGCGCGTGCCTTTGATTTCTCAACAAACTCATCATACACTTTCTCATGAACATATGTACGAGACCCCGCACAGCAACATTGGCCCTACAAAACCATTACTCAAAATTATCTCAGAAGCTAGCTAAGATATTGAGCCAGCTTAGCTCAAGGTATATATTTTACTACAGACAAAACCTGGTTGAAGAAGAGGGCAAAGTGCGCTTGCTCTACAGCTTTATCGATATCAGCATCTTCGAATACAATGAACGGTGATTTCCCTCCAAGTTCCAGAGTTACTGGCTTGAGATTGCTGTTAGCAGCCAAGCCAAGTATAATTTTGCCCGTATCAGTCGATCCTGTGAAAGCAAGCTACAGGAAAAATCACACTATAACATAAGTTTAGTTTCTTATAGAAGTCAAGAGCAAGAAAATTGATATATCTACCTTGTCTACATCCATGTGACTCGCGAGGGAAGCACCCGCTGTTTGACCAAATCCAGAAACTATATTCAGAACACCGGGTGGAAGACCCGCCTATAGTAAATTTGAAGAAACATTGTTACTCATAGCAACAATGGAAAGTAGAAAACGAATAGAGATTCTATCGCATGTATCTTACTTCAAGTAAAAGCTTTCCGGCATAGAAAGCGGTAAGAGGTGTTTGTTCAGCTGTTTTGAGGACAATGGTGTTACCACAAGCAAGAGCAGGACCAACTTTCCAAGCAAACATCAAAAGCGGAAAATTCCATGGAATGATCTGTCCAGCTACACCTATTGGTTCATGCAATGTTTGGACATGATAGTTTCCATCAGCTGGAACAGTTAGTCCATGGATCTTATCCGCCCATCCTACACACCAGAGCAGAACCAAGAATGTTCATTCACAGAAACTAACACCAAAAGTAAGAGAACTTCACAAGAATTCTCAAGGTTAAGTTAGTGTTATGATACCAGCATAGTAACGGAACAATCTGGCGAACATTGGAATCTCTACGTTCTTGGATTGTTGGTAAGGTTTGCCATTGTCCCATGTCTCTAGAGACGCCAGCTCTTCACTGTGTTTCTCAACCAAATCTGCAAACCTCAGCATTACTCTTGACCTTTCCTGAAACCCAGATCATCAACCAAATGAGAACATATCACACTAAAGTTCATAAATATAGAGTCCCAAGAAGAATATCTATAAACATACATAAGCACTCATTTTAGGCCAAGGTCCTTCATCAAAGGCCTTCCTTGCAGCTTTAACCGCCCGATTGATATCTTCAGCATCGCCTTCAGCTACTTGCGCAATGACTTCACCTGTCCGCGGATCAAGTGTCGGAAACGTCTTACCTAAAATCAAAAATTCGAAACATCAACTATTACCGCTCACTGGAATCTCAAGACTCGAAATTTGCAATTTTCCCAATACCATCAACTTGGCAAAGATATAAAAATGAAAACTTTAATCACCAGAAGCAGCATCAACGAAGTTCCCATCGATAAGGAGCTGAGTATGAGAAACTTGAACAGAGGGATTAATGATTTCCTCAGCAGCAGAAGAGGTTCCAAATCTCCTTAAGATCCCTCCATTGTAACAATTCCTCCCTGAAAATATCGTCATGTTCATAAATCATCATACCCAAGATTCACCAATCAAACACCAATAGACCCACAAATCAAAGAATCTACTTTTCAGTCTCCTTTCATTGGAAATAACGTTAATTCGAGGAAGAGTTGGCATAAGCTCAGTGAAGAAGTCTAATCAGAACAAACTAAATCTAGTATAGTTTTGAAACATGAAGATACTTTGAGAGATCCACTGAAAACAGAGACATGGAACAGTGATATGTTAGTATCTATGGGATTAATACCTTGAGAACGAAACAGTAAGGGAGATGAAGCAGACAAAGATCGAGATAATAGAGAAGACACTCTACGAGCCGCCATGGATGGATGGATGCACACAACCAGACGAGCTTCAAAGCTTTTCAAAGCGTCAAAGTTCTTATCTTTTTTTTTCTTCTTGGGATTTTCTTCCTCTCAAGTCTCTCTCTCTCTCTTAAATGAGGAAGTTTATATTTGTGTGATTTGAAGGAGAAAAGAATCCAACGGTCTAGATCTTACGCAATCTCATACACACATGTCGCTTAACTTGCACTCTCTTTGCCTCGTGTTGCCGTACTTTGAATGGCTATTTTTTGTTTGTCAGTTTTCAAATAAGAACTGTATACTATAATATGAAAAGACAAGAGAAGCAATTCAACTAATAAGATAAAATTCAAAATTGTCTTGCCGTGATCACTGATTTCTATGTATGTGTGTGTATTCATATTAATTAGTTTGAAATTATTTTTGTTGTTTTTTTTTGTTTTGTGTGTGTGGAAATTAGTGGATGAATGATAATGAAAAATGAAATAGTTGCATGTTATGGTGTGATGTCGTTTTCTAAGAGGTGGTTGTGTCATCTACTTGGTATGTTTTTTTTGTTTTTCCCATCTTTTTTTGTTGATAGTGTTTTCCACAAATAAAGAAATATTCTTTTCATTTTTATAAATAAATATGAAGATTTATTTATTTTGGTCAGAAATATGAAGATTTTGTTGATAAACATTTTGTTTGACTGCAGAGGCAAAAATTGTACTGCCGAAAAGGTTAGTAATCAAGAAATGATACAACTTTGTAAAATTATATGTGTCATTCTCATTATTTTCCCCTAAAGTATTGTCATTGTCCAAATTCACTTTATAATTAATTATATATATTTTAAAAGTCACCTAAAATGTGTTGAGAAACTTAAAAGTCCATTTAAATCGACGGTGTGATGTTATCAGTAAAACCTACTAGGCTAGCTACAGTATAATGAAAGAAGTCCATACAAATAAAGGATGTAGGAGCCATGACTGAGCTGGATAGAAATTGACATATAACCAACCGAAACTATTGTATTTACTTTTTTTCTGAATATAATGTTAAATTGTTTTTTTTAAAAAAAATAAACGTTTTTACTAGTGTAACAAGAGTTGAAAATTTTGTTGAAAAATATTTAATTTAATAACATTACCTTTTAAGATTAACTAAGTACGAGATTGGAGCCACCAATTGAAACCTGCATCATACCTCTTATCTCCCATTCTTCGGATAGCATGAATCCAAAGCATGAATCTGATTTTTAATTTGTTTATCAATTCATTCTATGATTATTGATGCTGAGTGAGACGAGTCTCCATGCTTCCTTTATGGAGACTATTTACTTTAAATCTTGCATCTGCATGTAATCATGTTTCTTAATAAACCTAATTCTATTTTTGGTTACATCAAATTAGATCAGTGTCTGAAAATCTTAAATGCATTTGTCACAACAACAAAATTAGAAAAATCCTGGATCCTCTGGTTTAAACATTTTAGGCATCTTCAAAGATGGATCATCAGGATCAATTCTTGAAGACCCTCTTTGGTTCCCTAAAACACCTCTCTTCGTATTAGCCGCAAACTTAGACGCTAATATCGTCGCACTCAAATTCTGATTATTGCTGCTGTTCTCCTCTCCGTTACTACTCTCCGGCATGGTCTCATCGTATTGATAGTCTTCATCATCATCATAATAGTAGTCCTCTCCTTCCTCTTGCCTTGCTAATTCCATTGCTAACTTCCTCTTCACGTACCGTCTCCACGCAGCTTGTATAAAACAAGTTCCCCATGCTCTCCATTGATGTGAATAGTATCTGAACAGAGTCAAAACATAAAGATCAAGAAACCTTATAGCGTATCAATCAAGAAACCTTTATTGCTTTTGAGACAAGAAACGTATGATTACCTGAAAGCATGTTGGAGTTTCTTGCTGTGGAGACGTCTGAATTGGTTAGCTACGAACTTCAAGTCCTCTGCTCGGAGAGCGAAAGCTTCTACCTCAGAGAGAGTCTTAACGGTTCTAGTGGACAATGGCAGATTAACAGTAATATTTGGCATTAAAGCCCAAGTTAAAAGTTCTTCACCGCAGAAATCTCCTGGTCTAAGCGTGATGGAGTTAAAAAACCCTGACCGTCCACCATCTGTAGTTGAACTCTCCACCTGACCTCTAATGATGAAAAGCATCTCGTTTACAGGATCGCCTTCACGCGTCACATACGTGTCTTTTGTGTTCAAGGATGGAACTAGACGCTCACATATCGCATCCAAGAGCTGGTCATCCATCTGTGCGAAGAACGGCACCTGAAAAAATCAAATGAACATAAAATTTAGGGTTTATAACTTGAACTGCAAATAATAAAAATGTGGTGTTTCCATGGTATTGCATACTCGGCGAACGAGGGCAAGACAGAGATGTCGTTGGATCTGGCGACGAAGATCCAGCGGTAGAGCCCGTAGGATAGCTTCTTCATCGACTCCACGAGTCGTTAGCCATTTGTATTGGACGAATCGCCTTACACGCTCTTGTAACTCTTCTGGCAATTGCCTATGTCGCATCCATTCCTCTGTGTCTCTTCTTCTGACTCTCCATTCATCTAACCTAGCCGTCGTCGATTGTAGATAGTTCTTCAAGAATTTGGAAATCATTTAGACTTCATTAAAAGCTATGGAAAGACCATAAATTTATTAAGTTACCTGAACATTTCCAATGAGATGAGAGAAGAAAACTAGCCCCGCAACACAGATGAAACAACTGAATATAGTCTCACTACTCAGTGTACTCGCTGCAAGACTTTGTCCATAAGAACTACACAAACCAAATCAAGGATCGATTAACTAATGGCGGCGACTACGGTTTTATTTGATTCAAGACTGATGAAATTTAACCTAACCTGAGGTTACGAAGACCCCACCAAAGACAGTAGAAGTATTTATCATAGAAAGGAGAAGAGGTGACATCATTAGTGAACGCATCACCGAACATACCAAACTGAAAATGCTGGTCATCGTCATTGCGTGCATCACAATTTGAGAGAACCCGAGTAATCCGCATCCAAGCTTGTCTACCTGGATCTTGCAATGATCCACAATCTAGAAACAAGAGCGTACAAGATGGTGAATGCGTTGCGTTCATCTCTTTAATGCACTCTCTTCTCCAGCATTCATGCTGTCTTTGGATCGATAAAACGTACCAAACCGATCCAAGAACCTAAAAGGAAAACCAAGTTGTGAAACAGAGATATTTTGATGTTATGTATTGAGAAAGAGAAATGGTTGCTTACGTGGCTCACAAGCAAGTAGAGGATGAGATTGTATGCTGCACCAGACCATGCTGTTTTGGCTGCGACACCGGTTGCTTTAATGATCCTTCGGTTGAGAGGAAGCATGACGACGAAGCGTGGTACGTACTGTATCAGGACGATCAAGGAAAGTGTGTGGTTCTGATGAGCTGCGTATCTGAATTCTCCAGCATTTGGTATCACAAACCAAATCATTATCTGAGAAAAAAAAATAGAAATTTTACAATTTCAGAACATAATAGTTTCTTGATTACTAATGTTTTCACTGATTACACGATTCCATAGAAATGTGATTTATGTTAACTTTTAATGGAGTTATCCATAACGAAAAGAAAAAGAAAAAAAGAATTGAACCTGAGGAAGAGGAAGCGAGGCAGCGAGGTCAATGACGAACTCAGTTTTAAGGTAGCGAATGGCAATTTCACGACGATCCATGACAAGCTCTCCACGACCAAAGACTCTTGATGATTTGGAGACAAAGGCGGTTTTGAATTTGAGGAAAATGTGGATGAGAAAGGAAAGATCAGCTAGGGTTCGGAAAAAGGTGACGAGGATACCAAAACTGACGTCGATGGACATACATGCGGTTCCGGCTTGGACAATGGGGAGATAGAAATAAAGAGGATCGAGAAAGAGAGCGAGAAGGCATGTGACGAGGAAGATGTGGTTCCATCTCGTGATTAGGTCACCTCTCGGATCGAGGGTTTTGTTACGGAGTTCAGAGAAGATGGATCGGCGGCGTTGGTTGTTAGGGTCGTTGTTGTTATGACGTAGAGAAAATGCCGTCGGAAAATTGCGGAAGCGTGCCGAGGTGTAAAGATGGAGATTGCTCATTTGGAGTTTGCTTGTGTTTGAAGTTATGGAAGAGAGAGATTTGTGGGAGTGGGAAGAATGAAATGATGTTGGAGACAATTAAGGACAGAAGAAAGAAAAGACTCTGTTTCTATGAAATGCTATTTTAAGTTATCAATTAGTATATTTTTTTTTTTCCTTTTACATAATGTTATGTGGTTATGTTTTGTAATATGTGTGTTAAGTTAAATTTAATAAATATTTCAAAAAGATGTTTCTGCGTAATAAAAATTCATTATGGCCAAATGTTTAAAACTAAACTCGCATTTGAATAAGGATGGGTAATTCATTTCTTTTCGAAATATATAGTATGACTTAGTCTATGATTGCTTCTTAAAATATAGAGTGCAGCCAATGGTTTGATTACAGCTAAAGACAGTTTCGTGTTGGCTTTGTATTATTACACCAAAACCCTTCAACTCTGTTTTGATCCTTTCGTAATGGAAGTTGGAAAAAGAGATCTTGAGCCGGAGACCACCACCTCCGATCCACTTGTTGGTGAGTCTTCTTGCGGTTCTTGCCTCCCCGGCTTCCGAGCCAACGCCGCTAAATCCTCATGGTGGCAGCGAATTCACAGCAACCATCACCATGAGCCACGGTGGTGGGTTCGAGCGTTTCTAAAGATCCGAGAATGGTCAGAGGTCGTGGCTGGACCACGGTGGAAGACTTTCATCCGTAGATTCAACCGAGATCGACGCCAAGGCCGCGACTGGGACGATGCGGCCAAATTCCGATATGATCCTTTGAGTTACAACTTGAGTTTCGAAGATGAATACAAAGACGACGAAGCAGGATTTGGTGGACTCCGAAGCTTCTCGATGCGTTACGCTTCTGTCCCCGTTGTTTCTAGTAAAGCTCCCGCCGTTATAAGCGTTGACCCCGTGAAACGATGATGACTCTTCTTGGGAAGATCGAGTTCTCTCGCGTGAGTTGCGTTTCCTCCTTGTTTATTTGTTTACGTGATCAACTTTAGTTATTTCTTTACGTGATCAACTTTAGTTTGGTTTGATTTATTATTTATGGTTGAAATTTACTCTATGTATCTATGCGTCATGCATGTAACATGTCTAAATATTTTGATTCTATGATTGTATGATGGTGTTGCATGTCCAAGCTAGACTCCACTTATACCACCTCTGTTGGTGTAGTAATAGCATCAAAATTATTTCTCTCGCCTCTTTGATTTCTTCATTACTTATGTATGCATGCACTTTGTTCTGCTCTGGTTGTCTGTTCTAACCCTGAGAGACAAACACTTTCACTTCAATGCTCCCAGACAAATAGATACCAAAGTCATAATATCATTGAACAATATAACTAAATAAGCAACTTCCAAATAGGAATGAATCCGTGTATATTATTTATTTTCGCATTATCTAATCACAAAACCTATTCCTGACGATTTCATGTATGTAGTAGTAATAGTAAGTAGTAACTAGGAAAACAAACTAATTACTCAAGTATTGTCTCCTTGAGGCAACCTACATGTTTGTTTATTAAACCCGAACCATAATACTCTCTTCTTCTTCTCCAACCAAAACCATTGACATAGACATACTCTCTTTCGTACTACACAGTACGTTAGAACCTATCCAAACCACCAGAGTCCTGTTTTACCGATTTACACTCGTGTACGGAGCAGTTATTACCGGTGTTTCCCTCACGTGGAGACGAAGCCAGAGACACCTCAAAATCTTCATCGCATTCAAGATAATGATGTGTGCCCATTGAGTAACACCTCCTTGGCACGCCCATCCCAATTTCACCTCTGACTTCATGCCGTTGGCTTTGACTTTGAATCCCGTTCGTACTTTTGAATCTCCCGAGACGAACAGAGAAGACTCTTTTGGAAATAGTTACTTTTCCTTCGTTGACCTGCTGATGCTCGGACAAGGGGGCAACAGGAGTCTCGGCGTGGTTGAAGCAGAAGCTTGAGGAATCGAAGTTTGCGGTTGAGAGTGACCGTCTGCAGAGAGGGCAAGTGGAGTTGGAGAGAAGCCACATGTCGATACAGTGAAGATGGAACGCATGGCTACAGACAGGGAGTAACCTAAGCTTGTCTGCGTCAGAAAACTCACTGAGACATACGGCGCAATCGAACGACTCTTTCAGACTCATGGTCACATCACCGTAAAGGAACACCGGAAGTGCATCAATAGCTGTCTGGTCTAGACCAGAGTCGTGGAGGAAGAAGAGGTGTTGGAGCTGAGGGGAGGAGGAAGACGAGAGATCTGGGCTGGGGTTGAAATGGGGAAATGGAAAGAAAGTTGAGGACTTACGGAGAAATTTGAAAATTATGTGGAGGACACCGAGAAAAACGATGACAAGAGCAAGAACAGAGATGACCATACATAAAATAGAGATTATAGAGTTTGAAGATGAATCTTTCTGGTTCAGAAGAGCTATTGTCGCTGCAGATGAAGACTTAGGTGAAAGAGCTTCTGTTTCATGGATTACAGACAAAAGCATCCTACACATTTTGGTGTTTGAAGAGAAGGAACGCTTTTGAGTTTAGCTCAGTGATCAGTCTCTATAAAATATATAGTAATGAGATAAAAAGCTGATAGAGATTTCACACATGCTCTGTCTTGTTTATTTCCCAGATCAAGACACGCTTTAAAAGTATAAAATTTTGAAGGCGACTCATTGTCCCCTCTTTTTATGTTGGTGACTGATTTGACATGATTTTAAGCTAAACCATAATCATTATTGGCTAAAAAGTCCATAAAATGTTATTAGGATTCTCACATTTAGAAGTTCAAGAACCACAATAAGCTGGATGATTAAGAAAACTACACTTATGGAAAACAAAGTTCTACTCAGGCCCACCATTGTCTTCCACTTAGATGTTCTTAAATCATTAAACATAGCTTGCCTTCTAATACATAATCTATTTCACTCCCACTCATTTGTTATTATATATCTTGAAAACAGAGTCTATGTAAATACTTTTGTGATGATGATTCATTGTCCCATGTTTCACAAACGAGCTTTCAAGAAGTCAAAACTCAATCATAACTGTAAGCAAATACATATCACATAGCTGGTCCGCTGAAAGATAATGAGGTTTTGGCAGATAGTAATAAAGATAAATCTTCTAAGAATTTTCCTCAAATCAATTGATCAAGATATAACGATACTTTTCAGTTCTTTAATTTATTCAAATCATGAAATGTGCCCTTACAAGTTATAAATCCTAGCAAGAACACAGATTTCTACACTCAGAGCGAGAGCGAGAGCACACACACCTTTGCCCGCTGATATCCTGAGTGTCATCTCAATTATGTGAAAACGTTTTAACGAACTGAGTAGATGTATAGCTCATTTCTTCCATGGATTATCACCGTAGTAATAGGCAGTTCCAACCATTAAAGCAACGGTAGCACCCTGGACGACCACCCTAGCTCTCATCAAAACCTGACCCATCTGAGAATTGCCTCTTCTGAAACTAATCAGCCCAGCCGTAAGCACTCCCGCAGTCATAAGTGCGCCTACAATAGTTTTATTTCACAAGAAAATGATCAAATACTGAATGTCTACCAATATAGACCAAGACAGTATTGGAAAGCCATGAAGATTTTGAAACACTCTGGTCTCTGTCAATGTTTATAGAAACCTAATCATGGCTTTGCTACCTAAGCTCCAAGTAACAAATTCTCATACAATTTGCTAAAGGAACAACCTTCAAAGATGTATGTTGTCTCTATATAGCTAGCTCTACCATCTACCATGAAACTTGAGATTCTTTACAGGCAAGATCATACATACCGACACAAAATTGTAAGAAAACCACAAATTGTACCTCTATTTCATAACTTATTAATGATTTCAGAATTGTTGGGATCCCAAAAATTCTGAATTCACATGATTCTGATTATGAATCTAAAGGGAACAAATTGTTGTTCAGAGATTAAAATAAAATAAAACCCAGAAACTACATTAGAAGCAATCTAATAAAGCGAACAAGGAAATGGGTCATGCTATAAACATTTCGAAATCGCGAAAATTCAAAATTCGATCTCAGTGAAATTGAGATCAAAAACGAACCGAGAGGAACGAGAGGGTTCCTGTAACGCTTCTTATCCTGGAACAGATCTTCCATGTCAGGTTCTACCGCACTCATCTTCTCCACAACCATCAGTGCGATAAACCACAGAGAGAAACAAAACTAATAAAAAAGAGAGAGTAGCGAAAGTAATTAAGAGCAGTCACGCGTGGCCTGTTCGTCACCAGAGACCGTGCGACGGCCAGCCGATTCTATGAAACGGGTCGGGTCGTGTCGATGGTTTTCAAAAACGGGTCAGATTCGAGAGTGTTTAAAACACCCAAAAAGGGATTTAAAAAGCCCAGTGGGCTCGCTTCTGATGCCCACGTCCGAAATAGCATGTAATAATTACAATTTCGGTTTTATTATGATAAGAAATTAAAAAAAAAAATCCATTGGTTACTTTAAATCCATTTGTTGTCAAAAATAAAAACAAAGCTACAACTGATATTGTTACTACTTCTCTAATGTACCATCTCTAATTCTATAGTCCTTAATCTCCTAACAAGGTTTGGTATATGAACTATTAGGTCACGAATCACGATCTAGGTTTCTCAAGGTTATGGTACTATAGGGTTTCAAGTTCAACTGTCAAATATCCTAACCAACTGGACTGATATAATTTTTTTTTTTGTTTATTTAGGGCCAAAGACATGGGCCTTTTAGCCCAAACAAAAGAAGAACATGGGCCTTTTGTTTCAAACTAAATATTTTTGGCAGCTCTATATTTATTTTGTAACTAATCTATTTTTACAAAACTGAATTTAACATTCTTAACTATGATTTGAATTGTTGGAAGGCATCTCTCAAACATGTGACTAAAACGCATTAGTAAAAACAACAATTTCGAGGAAAAAAAGTCATGTCGGAGTCCAGGGGCGGATCCATAAACTTTTTTTTATATGGGGCACATATTATATATAACTAATGATATTAATTGTAATATATATTTTATATAATTACATATATTAATAAATAAATATAATTTTCACTTTTTATATATTTTAAAAAGGAAAAACAAATACCGAATTTTTTGACAATATTGTTCTTTTTCTAATTTATCATTTAAAAATATACAATTACAGCTCTATATAAAAATGTACTATATAATATTATTATTTAAATATTTAACAACAGCACAAATTATTATTTTACTTATTTTCTAAGTTTACCAATAATTTATAACTAAAATTTTTTTAGAAGTTCAACTAAAATTAGAAATTAAAAAATAAAATTAAAAAAATATAGATTATTGAAAACAATAAAGGAAAAGAAAAAATGCATCTAATAATAAAAATATGTAAGAAAGTTAGAGAAAAGATATGACAGACATAAATAAAAATCTACCAAAAATAAAAGCAGATGAGTTGTACAAAGAAAACAAAAAAAAGAGAAGCATCAATACAAAGTGATAGAACTTTTTACCAAGCAGTTACATGGGGCACTATGCTGCCAAATGAGCCAAAGATCTATTATCTTATTATCCACAAACTAAACTTTAAGAATTAGTACGGGGCACGTGCCCACCTATGTATAACATAGATCCGCCCCTATGTGGGACTGTGGATGATGGATAGATCATGTGAGGAGCCGCCGTTCTTTAATTCCCCTCTCTTCAATCTTCAAACCAAAAATTAAAAGATTTTGAAACTTTGAAAAATATTGAAAGAAGAAAAAAAGAGAGAGAGAGAGAGAGAGTTTTGGTTTATAAACGTTTATTACACTTCTTCAAGTTAATTAATAATCACTTCATTACGTCTCTCTCTCTCTGTCTCTGGGTTTGGTTTAAAGTGCGTATTTTTGTGGGTTTGCTTTTGTGGGGGTTTGAATGGCGTCGACTGCTTCGAAATTCATCAAATGTGTGACTGTTGGAGATGGTGCCGTTGGAAAAACTTGTATGCTCATCTGCTACACTAGCAACAAATTCCCTACTGTAAGCAATCCTTGAATTCGATCAACAAACTTCATCTGGGTTTCTCGCAATTTCGTTACCAATATCGTTGATTCACATCAATTTTGTTTTTCCGGGGCAATCAATCTCCAATTTTGTTACTTTTTTGATGAAAATCCTTCCGGGTTTTGTCAAATTTCAACTCGTTTTTAAAGAACTCTATCAGGGTTTTTCAAAGTTAGCTCCTTTTTTTAGGGATTGTGTAAGAAACATCTTTTATATTTCCAGATTTTGGAAATCTTACATTGTTAGGCTAGGCTAACATTTGCTGTATAGCCTATGTGTCCTCTCTATTGCTATATAGCCTATGTGTATCTCTGTTGAAGTTAAAGATGAGCTGAGACCTTGTTGGGGTTGATTGTTGAAATGTTTCAGGACTACATACCAACAGTTTTTGATAACTTTAGTGCAAACGTTGTAGCTGAAGGCATCACTGTCAACTTAGGCCTTTGGGACACTGCCGGTAAGTAAACTGAAACATGTCGCCATTTCTAACAACTAGCAAGTTTGCTTTCGATTTGAGCTCTTTGGATAGAGAAATTGGTAGTGTGTTTCAGACTGGCAACTATTTAGATATTTGTATGTATGAGTATCCTTTCATGTTTGCAGGTCAAGAAGACTATAACAGACTAAGGCCTTTGAGTTACAGAGGAGCAGATGTTTTTGTGTTGGCTTTCTCATTGATCAGCCGAGCTAGCTACGAGAATGTATTTAAGAAGGTTTGTGATAATTGTATTCCTTCTTAATCTTATTGGGAAAACAAAGAATGAAATGTGATTTCTGATGTTTGTGAAGTGTTTATTTTGGTCAGTGGATCCCTGAACTCCAGCGCTTTACACCAGGAGTCCCCATTGTACTTGTTGGTACCAAAATGGGTAAGATAGCTATTAAGAGTGGAACCAACAATGTTCTTGGAAAGCATATATCGTATATGTAATGTTTCTTACAATTTTCCGTTATATAGATCTTCGTGAAGATAAACATTATTTGTCTGATCATCCTGGACTGTCCCCAGTAACTACATCACAGGTGCGATTTTTCAACCTGTAGAAACCGTAAGCAATGTTGTGATACTTCCTTAACCCTTTCCTCTAGGTGTTATATGAGATAAGCATTCATATGTGACAGGGAGAGGAACTCCGCAAGCATATTGGAGCAACATATTACATTGAATGCAGCTCAAAAACTCAACAGGTACACGTGCATGTGTGTAAGGGATCATTCATGTTAGTGTACTCTTTTGCTTGCACCAATATGACACATATAATTTTCTTTGGTCTATGGTTTTTGTAGAGTGTGAAAGCCGTATTTGATGCCGCTATCAAAGTGGTAATCAAACCAGTGGTGAAACAAAAGGAGAGGAAGAAGAAGCAAAAGCCACGCAATGGATGTCTCTCGTAAGTTTGAATAGTCTTCACTTTAGAGTTCCTTATATATGATGTAGAACACTAGAATTTGGTTATGCAAAAACTCACATTTAGTTTTATCTTTATATAGCTGTTCTAATGTGTTTTTTTTGTGAAGTCTCATAGCCATTAACGATTGTAAATTGACTTTTTTTCTTTGGCAGTAACATTCTTTGCGGGAACCATTGATGACGCAACTCCAATCTGAGGATTGTTCATTTCTTTTTTCTTTTTTTTTTTTTTCTGATTGCCCTGTCATATACATAGAGTTGGCAGGGATAAAGCCTGAATTCGATAGTAGCTTCTTTGATTATGTTTGTAAATGTGACCGTGATGTTTGTTTTTTCCGATTTTGGTTATATAGTTGTTTTCGCCATTTTGGAGATAAAGACCCTTTTCAGATGTAGAAAAGATCTAACCACAGCGTTTTAGTTGACTGGTTAACACTTGATTCTTTCTTGAGCCCTTATTGCCAAATTTGAATTTATTTGGTCTATTACGAATTCGAGACAAAAGGCAAAAGCATGACAAAGAAGAAGGATGTAAATTTCAAACGGAGCTAGCACAAGAAGTAATAAATCTACAAACTGAAGAGAGAAAAAAAAAAAAAAACTAATCTTGTGTCTATAATACAACTCCATCACCTAACGCAGCACATATATGTAAAGCCACAATGCCAAAGACTTGTTTTATCATAATTTGAAACACACTCAAAGCCACCAACATTTATTTTATCTCTCTGCTCTTTTGTGCCGGTGTATAGAGATACACACAGGCATGTTAAGAAGAATGACCAAAAGTGTGTTTCACCTTTTAAAACTCTCTGTGGGGAGAAGGAGGTAATGCGGGTCTCTCGCTGAGAACCTTGTTGATAACTCTTCTGAAAGAGAGTGGCCACGCCGGTGAATTTGGAACTGTTTTTGGAAGATCTACATGATGGTGAAACCAAGAGGTCAGGTTTTGAGTTCTTAGAAACGTTGAGACCACTGTGAAGTCACAAATTGACTCACCCATTCCTCATCTTAAACAGAGCAGGCCAGCCAATGAAGCCTTGCGGCATCACAATCACTCTCATCTCGTAGTAACTAGCAAAGTAAAAAATAGTTTTTGAAACATCAGTAAGGGAAAAAAAAAAGTGAGGTACGAAACACACTAAAGTTTGTGGGGACTTCGAGGGCTTACAAGCTCATGTAGCCTCCTGAGATTCAGAGCTATTGTTATTGCCACGAGGACTGCCTATATCCATCCCATCCTCCTTCCGGTTCTTTCCTCTTCAGAACACCACCTGACATTTGATACATTCTTGCTTGATCCTCCTTCAATGGTAAGGAAGCAGATGATGATAATTGTCTTGCCACAAGTGCTGATTCGTCTCTTCCCTCTGTTTCATGACCTCCAGGACCAGAATTTAAGTCAAGTCCTGACCTAAACCATTTTGCGTTATTGTCCAAAACTCCACCATTGCTACCACCATTTGGGAGGCCAACGATATAAGGTCTTGGGTAATTAGACGGAACTGGAACTCCAGGACCCAATATTTGAGAGTTGACACCAGGGAAGCAAGCTCTCCCACTTGAAGAAGAATCCATGTGTGCTGTAGAAGCACCAGAGAAATTCGATGAGGTAATGGGGAAGCTGTTTCCAAAAGGAAACACAGGATACTGGAACGTTGTGGACTGAAACGGCATGGCTGGAGACGACGACAAAACCGGACCCCTATACCCTTCAGGGGTAAATGAGGAAACACCAGTTGTTGGACCTAACATTCTCTGTGGTCCACGATTGGCAATCATTGGAAAAGGCTGATCACCTCTCTCAGGCATAATTGGAGGAATGCTCACAGCTGAATAAGCGTTAGCAGCAGGAAACCAAGTTGAGAAACTAGCCATGTTTTCGCCATTCATTCGTATCCCAGAGAGAGATGGTTGTGATGGCAAGGCACTTCGTGAATGTTGATTTAGAATCACAGATGACTCAACAGCCGCATCATCACCCGCAGGTCCATCATTTAAATCAAAATCTCTACGACTACCAGTTGATGATAATTTAACCTGCTGAAAAGATGGCTCCAACCGATGACTACTGTTCATTGTGTAGTTGTTCATATCAGTGGAATCATCAACTTTGTTAAGATCAAGATCAAGTCCCCCAGAAGAATGATCAAGCGCTAAACCTATGACCCCAGAACGAACGCGGTCAAAACTACTTGTGATCCCAGATGTACAATTTGTGGCATTTCCAGATCTTTGAGAAGCCAAATCTTCAAGAACTCTCTCGTCAGCTACATTCAAATCAAAATCCAGAAACGTCCTTGTCTGTTTACCGGCAGATGTCGAAGCATCAGAGATAGAGGTATTGTTAATGCTCAGTAACACATCCTGAGGTTTTCTTGGCTCAGCTGGGCGGAAGGCACTAGTGGCAGCAGATCCTCTCCAACCAACAGCCCCTTTATTTCTCAACAGATCTTCAGGTGGAACAAACGGACCTTTTGCAGCAGCCGCAACAGTAATTGATGCAGGAATTCCACTCGAAACAGGAGCCACCGGAAAAGGTAAGGTATTAACTGGTTGTAGAGGAGTAGGCGTCAAAAATACAGATCCAGAGAAGTTATTCGAATCCACATGTTTTACTTCGTCTCCATCAAAACCTTCATTTAGATCAAATTCAACTCTGGCATCCATCTCTGATCCACCTGAAGCTGCAGCTGAAACAGAAGAAGCATCTCTGGCAGCAGATGTACATTCCTCTGCTTCATCTCCATCCGCATCACTGGTTTTAGGCCCATTCGGTCTCTTAAGATCCTCTACATCTGTTGGTGATTCTCCTGGAGTAGCTCTTAACCCTGAATAACGTTCCTTCATTTCAATATTTTCTATATTCCGCTCCACAGGCTCAACTTTATTTATAGTTACAGATGAATCCAAACCAGCTGAAACATCCTTTATAGCAGCGACAGAAGCATCACAATCCCGCTTTATCTTCTTTATATCTTTCTGGTCTATATGATTAATCACCATGCTATTGACCATTTCACTCACAGGTCTATCAATGCTTATTGCATTCATACCCCTTGAAATCCCAGAAGTATCAGGTACATCTTCATCCACTTTTTTAACTAGCTCAGAACTCAATGTCGTTGGCGGTTTCTCTTCTTTCTTATCTTCACCAACACTGTCAAAGGGAGCATGTTTAACAGCCACAGAATCTACCTTTTCACTTATATCTTTACATTCACTTAACATTGAGATTTCTACTCTTTTTGTTGAGTCAGATGTGTGATCTGCCTCTGATATAGCATCAACCTTTGTATCCTTTACTTCCACAGATTCGCAATCATCAAAAATCTTTTCCTTAACCACGTTTGTGGGCAAAGCAGGTGAAGCGATGATATCATCTGAATTGTCATTGCTCTCTAGCTGATCCACCAGCGTTTGCAAATCTTCAGAGTCTGAATTTGAGCTCTTATCAGGATCTCCACTCTTCGATTCATTTTTTACCTCTGACTCCACCAACTGTGTGCCACTACTGCTAACATTTTGCTCACCTTGATGTTGCTCGTGCGGCAACCCATCCGAAGTCATTAGTTTTGGATTGTTCCCGACAGTAGAATTTTCATTCATCACAGAATTTGATGGCTGAGATACTGAGGGTGATGCAACAGGCGATTTAGACATCTCATCAGCAGCTACACTAGCAAGAAGATTCATTCCAACATCATCCGAACCAGCCAAAGAGGTATTTGTCTCGGAGTATCGGACACAACTTTCAATCAAGGCATTCATCGAACTGAGTGTTCCACCATGCCTTTCTCCAGATTTGAACTCATTTCCTAAGGAAGATGTGCTTTTAACATTCCCAGCTGCTTTATCAGAATCTTTAAGAGCCATGCCACGCTCATCACCAGCAACAGCAAGTGGTGAACCAGCTGCCTCTTGCGAGCCTGTCAAAATATCTTTTAATTCATTGCTTTGCCAAGATTCAGCATTCAAGACAGAGGTGACATTAGCTCGACAAGAATGATTTTTTTCTCTCACGTTATTGTCACACAGTTCCTGCTTCACCGCATGCACAGGAGAAGAAGCTCTGCTATTCACCGGTGCAGGGTCCTCCAAAGAGCCCCCACTCACACTTTGAGCAGGACTGCGACCTCGATTTGGCAGCTTCACAATCAATTTATTACTGCAACCCTCGGTCAGAGGAACCTCAAGAGCCTTTTCAGATGTCAAACTTGATTGAGAAATTTTCTCAGAAGGGACGTTCCTTTGTGATGAGAAGCTTCTACTTAAACCTGCTTCTCTAGGGGATGCTGACGAAGATGATCCATGAAACGCATTATTAAATTTCCGATGCCTTGATGAGCCGCTGGAGCACTTCTTCACAGTTGAACCCGCAGTTGAGCTCCTTGCATCCTCTTTTCCAGATAAATTGCCTGTTTTAGCATGCTCGCTCGAGCAAGACTGACTATTATTGTGGGACTGACTGGAGCTACTACTTTTCTCATCTTTTACTGCAGCTAGAACTTCAGATACACCACCAGCCCCAGTATTTCGTTGCTGTCCATCTTTGGAAACAGTACCGCCTGATCCAGGAGATGGGGCTGATCTTGTAGAGCCTGGTGACGTGGTAACACACTTCAGGTTGTTATCCACCTGTTGTTTGACCAAGACTGACTTAGAAGCATGTAAATGGGATGATGATGTCTTGTTTGCTTCCGCGGAAACACCTGAATGCCTTCCCCCATGAGTCAGTCTTCCAGGCCAAGATACACCCTGGTTGGATCCAGACTTCGCATCCATTTCTGCCTCAACTCGTTTCTTCCATGTGTCAACCAAGCTCCTTGCTTTTTTCCCAATCTCTGAATTTTTATGTGACCGCAGATGATTAACAGACTTTCCAATGTTACAAGTCTGAAGCGCATTGAGATTCACGGGTAGCTTGTCAAGGGCGCGAAGTAAGACTAAGAGGAAATCGTCTACTAACCTATCACTGTCTTTAGGACTGCCCCCATCCCCAACTTTCCCTTTATGAACTTCCTGCAGCCACTCATCAAACACGGGTAATCCCCTGAGCTGGACAAAACGACTAAGGCAATCAAACTTGTCTGTAGCCGCTACAACCCCTGCTAGAATCGCACGGCCAACTAAGTCTATTTTCTTCTCATTCCTCTCAGGTAGCATGAGCTGCACCAATTTCTCAACTCCTTCAGAATCTACCAAACCACCTTTGTCTGTAAATTTTGAAATCTCAGACTTTAAACCACTTTCTGTTCTGACGGGACCAGAACCACTGTCATCTACTCGAGTAGAACGTTCCCGTTTAACAGACTCAGAACCATGATCCATGCGCTCTCTTTTCCTTCCCTTACCCTGAGAGAGAAAAGAATT